AAACTCACGCCAGGCACGTGTGCGTGTGTGCCCAAGATCCTGAGAGGACAATGGAGAAGGGATTGCGGCGTGGCCATCTGCCCTGGGGGGTGATTTCTCACTTTCTGTCTTTCTGGTGAGCGCATGCACCCTATAGCAAAAACCTCTCCAAAAATAAATAAATACATACACACATACATACACACACACACACACACACACACACACACACACACCTCTTGGGCATTTTTTTTTTTTTGGAGAGGTTTTCGCTATAGGGCGCGTGCGCTCGCCAGACAGACAGAGAGAGACATAGAGACAGAAAGCGAGAAATCACCCCCCAGGGGGGATGGTCACGCCGCAATCCCTTCTCCTCCATTCTCCTCTCGGGATCTTGGGCACGCACGCACACGCGCCCGGCGTGAGATTTAAGCCACCGGGTCTGAGACGCGAACCGCGGTCGACTACGTGGGAGTCCAGCGACATAGCCATTACGCTAACTGCTGGTTCCCCCACCTCTTGGGCATTTTGAAATTCAATTTCTTTATCTTTTCTTTTTTTCTTGCTAGAGGGCATGTGTGATTGCTAGAGACAAAGAGACAGAGAGAACGGGAAAGGAAAAAGCACCCTCCAAGGGGAATGGTAACACCATAATCTGTTCTCTTCCATGTCTCACTCCTTTCAAGACTGTGAGCAGCATACACAAGTGCTCATTGGGACTGTGGCCATGCATGCACAAGTGCCCAATGTGTTCAAGTCATCAGGTCTGGGACTTGAACCATCCTGTTTGCCCTAGCAGGATCTGACTGCCTTAACACCAGACCACAGAGCCAGACGGAGACTCAATTTCTTGACCTCCTGCTTTTCTCCTAGTTACTACGGAATGCTCAGATTTCTAGTTGGAAGCCTTTTTAAAATAAAATAGGCTTAAAACACTGACCTGGCCCTCCTAGCTACCGTAATAAAACATCACTAAAACATTACGATTATCACCAAACGTGTGTAGAGCAGTCTGGTAGATGCAAAGATCATAATAACTTTATAAGGGATACAGTCTCTATTGTTCTAGTTAAAGAAATATATGCATATGTACATAAACACACATACATACTTACACATAAAGTACTTAAGTACATAAAATACAATATTTTAAATGCTAGATAATCTTTATATGACAAGAATACAAACTATATAGCCAAAAAACTGGACTTCTCTGAGCCAGTTTCATTCTCATCTATAAATGAAATAACAAAATCTACATCCTAGAATAATTCAAGGGTTAAAAGAGAAGGAAGTCACCAAAGATGATCTTAAAATGTAAAGAAGGTGAGCATTTCTAATCCAAAAAAATCTAAAGTCCAAAATGCTCCAAAATCCAAAATCTTTTGAGTGGTATCATGATGCCACAAGTCGAAAATTCCACACCTGACCTTGTGTGATAGTTTGTAAGTAAAAACAAAATATTGTATAAAATTACCTTCAGTCTGTATATAAGATGTACAAAAATAAATTTCATGTTCAGACATGGACCTCATCCCTAAGATATCCCATTATGCATATGCAAATATTCCAAAATCGGAAAAAAATCTGAAAATCAAAACACTCTGAATCCAAATATTTTAGTTTGGATATGATATTCAACCTATATTACAGTAAAGTTGGATCTTAATAATAACCATGTGAAGAGCTCTTACTTATGTGCCATAAATTGTTCCAATTGCTTTCATGAATTATCTTTAATCATCTCAACAACTCTGATGGATGATACTATTATTTTCCCCCAGTTTGAATAATGAGCATATTTTACTTCGGAGAGTTAACTTATACAAAGTCACATGATTAAGTATTTAGGCAGGGTTGAAACCCAGATATTCGACTCCAGAGCCTGAGTGCTTATCTATGGTGTGAAAAAGTTTCAGTACTCCTTAGAAAGGTAGAATTTATACATACAGGTTGAAGGACACACATTTACCTACCCACCTGGAACAATACATTGACAAATCTGCCTAAGGTAGATGGTAAGGGAATACAAGAGGTCTTCAAAAAATTAAGAAAAATGTGTATTATGAAAAATTATGCATACATTTCAATATTTTTGACCAAATTAAATTTGTTAACTTTATTCCTACAAACTTTTGAAATCCCCTCATATAGTTTGTTTGATAACATACCTACTCGGAAAAAAAATTCATAAACTTTCTCTTGATTGCTTCTCCTCTAATACATTTCTCCTACCTTTTCATTAAATTCATGAACTCTGACAGAAAAAGACAATTATTTACCAATAATTTATGCTATTACCCTGATGCCAGACCACCAACTCCAGCCTCAGTCGATCGTTTGGGAATCACCACGTCTTCCTACTCGTGCCTGTCACTGCCTCTAAGGATCACTGTGATGGAAATAAAAGAAGGAAATCCAGTGTAATCCAGTTACAACTAATCCTAAATGTTTGCAGCTCCCAACTCTGAATCCTGTTTTTCCCTTCCTACACGCCCCTCCTCCCGTCCTAATACCTCTGGTCCTCAAAGGTCCTGAAACTATTGTCAAGGAAACGGCGACGCCTCCAGTCCGGTCCAAGGAGCGAGGCTATCCAGCCGCAGGCTCCTTTCCTCTGGATTCTAGACCCAGTTTCGGGGGTACCAGGCCTCGAGCCCGACAGTGCCCCTCGCCGGACCTGTTTCCACGCCCGATCTCCACAGAAAGGGGGTGGGGCAGGCCGATTCTCACGTTAAGACTCAACACGCGGGTTCCCCTGGCCCAGGAGCCTAGGGTCCAGGCCTCCGGGTGCCTGGAGGTCCTCGCCTTCCCCAGACGCCCTCTCAGGTCCGTTACCTCTTCCTCGCTCGGTATTCCCCCAGGGAAGGGCGCAGCCAGCGCCACGAACCCCAGCGCGGAGGCCTTCCAGAGGCGGCGTGCGTCGCAACGCGGGAAGGGGCGCGGAGGCGGGACCCGGATCCTCCGCGCCAAGGGGCGGAGCGCGCTTTGCCAGTCAGCCAACCAGAACGCGAGATGCCCGAAGGGGCAGTGCGTCGGGCGCGGGGCGGGGTCTGCTGCAGAGGCTCTGGCGGCCGCAAGTGCCCTGCTTGCGGGTGAGGTGGCAGATGGTGGCGCGCGCCGGTGACAGAGGCGAAGTCCGAGCCGAACGATAATGATGAATGGAGCAACGCGACTCTCGCATATTGATCGCCGCGAGCGGGTTCTCAAGTTGGGCGAGAGTTTCGAGAAGCAGCCGCGCTGCGCATTCCACACTGTGCGCTGTGAGTGAGGACGGCCCTGGGGGCTACGGAGGACCCGGGATGCGGCGTAGAGACGTAAACTCAGAGTCGTTCCGTGGTCTTTCCCTTTTACTCGGCTGGAAACTGGGGCAAGTGAAGTGGGCTGAGCGATACGCTGCTCGGCCTGGAGTTTCAGGGCGTGAGCGGAAGGAGCTGGAACCAGTGCCGAGCAGGTGGGGTAAACCCTGGCTAGAGGGATTTTCGTGGGACCACCCTGGAAGGGAGACTGGAGAAGGCGTGCAGAGGTGACAGTGGAGTCAGCCGTGGCAGGTGGATGATGGCAGAGGTGGACAGGGTGATGATATGGAGACCGAAGGACCAGATGCGCGAGGAAGAGAATACCTTGGGCTCGTGGGGCTTATTTTCTCTTTAATTCACTTTTTCTCACCTGTGGAGGAGAGAAGTCTTAGTGTGTTCTTGGGAAGAGATTCATAACCATCTCAATCTCTCTCCCCCTGTGTGTATGTCTCTCTCTCGGACCCTAGATTCCATTCAGTCGGTTATCAAATGCTGATTGTCAGATTATTGAAAGGGTGTGTTATTAATTTATTTGGGATGTATTTATCTTCCTATCATTGCTGCCCTTTGGCTTTCCATATGTCCTCAGGAACTAGTTTTAATGTTATTCTCTTTTAGGCTGTTGAAGTAAAAAGAGGAGTTTTTTTGCTTTAGTAGTAGAATAATATAGATCCCAGGAAGGAAAATATACCATATGTGATTTGTATGTAAAACACCCATTCTTTGCATAATAACCCTTTTAGAATTCTGAAACAGGAAAGAAACTTTGAGATCATTGAATCATAACCTGTCATTTTTCTGTGGCAAGATTGTAACGTAGATATTGTTTCACTTCCTCCCCCACCCCCTTCCTTAGTGTCTCATCATTCTGCCTTACTCATTTTGTCCTCTGGTTGTCTAGAGACTTAAGGTTTTTACTGTGAAAAGCTCTGTGGTTCAGTCAAAATAACCAGTTACAACTTACATTCTCCAAAGTTTTACTTAAATTGAATATGATCTAGTTCTAGAAGCTCAGAGTAAAGATAACGGAGAACTCCCTAAGGATGTATTTACATTTTATAGGGGTTTTATTAAGCAAGATTAACATCTCAGTGGTAGAATAAATGGAGGAGATATTTGTAAAGAGAAGGACTTGAGCATTACCCCTTGTTTATTCCCTTTTACTTATATCCTGCTATCCAAGGCTCGTCGTCGTGAGAAAGCTAGTGCTGTGCTGATTCTGCAATGTCTCCCTTCACTCCCATTTTCCAAAAATATGGTAGGTTTTTACACGGTTTCTCCATGCCTTTTCTAAATAATATCTCCTCTCTTCTCTTCTTAGGTATGCTGTACTTTTTTTTTTTTTTTTTTGAAAGACAGAAACAGAGAAATAAATGAGAAATCACCCCCCAGTGGGGGTTGGCCATGCTGCAATTCCTACTCCTCCATTCTCCTCTCAGGATTTTGGGCACACATGCCTGGCCTGATTTTTCAAGTCGCTGGGCCTGGGACTTGAACCTTGGTCAACCACGGAGAAATCCAGTACCTTAACCACTACATTACCTGCTGACTCTGATGTACTGTATTTTAGTATTGATTTTTCAAATTCTGAGTTTAAAATGATAAAAATTTGCTCAAGAATCACGTTTTGATAAAACTTGGTTATAGTCTTTTTTAGGAATAAGACACAAATTAAATAGAAATAGCCTTTAGAAAGTACCTTACAGGTACTTCAAAGTCTTTCATTTTAAAGGTTCTTAAAAATGCCAGAGTTGGTGGGACTAGCAGATGGCATAATGGTTACATTGTTGGACTTCCACGTATTTGACTGTGGTTCAAGTCCTGCACCCGGTAGCTTAAAACTCATGCCAAGTGCATGTGTGTGCCCAAAATCCTGAGAGGAGAATGAAGGAGAAGGGATAGTGGTGTGACCATCTTCCTTGGGTCTCCTGGGGGATGATTCCTCTCTCCTGTCTCTCTTCCCCTGGGGGATGATTCCTCTCTCCTGTCTCTCTGGCTAGTGTACACACCCTGTAGCAAAAAATCTCTCTTAAAAAAAAAAATGCCCAAATCATAGTGTCAGTCAGTGAATCGGATGATCTAGATACAAGAATGAAAATAAAGATAGGGTCAGCTGGTGATTGGTGGGTAAGGCAGTGAGATCCCACATAACCAATAGCACAGTTCAGTCCTGGACCCGCCAGCTTTAAAGACATGCAAGATGCAAGGACAAGCATGTCGAAAATCTTGAGAGATTTCGAGAACAGAGAAGAAGGGATTGTGGCCTAACCATCCCCCTTTGGAAGGGTGCATTTTTCATTTTCCATCTCTTACCCGCCCCCCCTACCCTACAAGCTCATGTAACCTATAGCAAAATTTTAAAAAGAAAAAGAAACAAAGATGAATAAAACAGCAGTAATAGCCACAATTAATAAATTAACCCAGATGTTTGAATACATGCTTTGACCTGTGGAAAACATTAGAAAGGTTTTGAACCCTTATTATTTTTTCTGGTTTAGCAGACATAGTAATGGCTGGGATGACTTTAGATTTAATTAACCAGTCATCATGCTTCAGGACAGGTTCACTTCCAATGTGATCTTTACTCTTAGGAACTCAGAGTAAGGGACAGAAACTATAGAGTGGTGGATCCGACATCGGTACAGGGCAGGTGGACTTAATTTGTAACAAATACTCTAGCCAATGTAATCTGATACTAGTATTTTATTTTTATGTGTGGGGCAGTTATGCCTGTCTGATATGCTGGGGCTTCAGACAAACTTGGATGTGAATCCTGACATGACCACCTACGTATATTATGTGACTTTGGGAACATTGTCTAAGTGCTCAGCCTGTTTTTTTAAGTGGAAATTAATACTAGTAATAATATCTACATTACAGGGTTTTTGTAAGGATTAAATAAAACAGCATAAACAACCTAGAACAGTATTTGACACATAGAAAATAAATACTAGTCACTGTTATTTTTGAAGAGTTATATCCATAAGTGTGTAAGTAGTGCCGATGAATGTAATTAGGCTTTGAAAAGATCTTGTCAGTAAAACCTAGCAAAAAGATAGTCTGGCCTGTGGTAGGGAGAGCATGGGATGTTCTGTCAGTGACAAGCTAAATGTTTAGCAACAGGTGCTTCACTGCATAGAAGAGTTTAAATAATAAACTCACTAGAATCAGTTCTGGATTGGATTAATACTAGTTTTACCATTGATATACAAAAAGGAATAAACAGTGAAATTCCTGAGTTTTAAATAGCACTACTTTTTTTAAAGAATTACTTAATTTATTTATTATTTTTTAAAAATTTGTAATAGGGTACATGCACTCACCAGAGAGAGAGAGAGCGAGAGAGAAGGAAAGTGAGAGAGCAAGCTGCTGGGTGCAGGACTTGAACCATGATTAGCCATGTAGGAGTTCAGTGCCTTCACCACCACACCAACTGCTGGTCCCAATGATGCTACTTTTTGTTGTCATGAGCTGATGAGCAGTGACTACGGAAAGATCGAGGCACTAAGTGGATCCACCCCACAAAAAGTAGTAGCTAAGCTTTGGCATGTAAAATACCAGAAAGCTCACAAGTGAAAAATAGAATTAAAATTATATTTATAGTTCAGGTTCTCTGATCACTGTGGTATATTGGAAAGAATATAGATTTTGGAATTAGTTGAATTAGTTCAAATCCCAGAACATGATGAGAGCAATTGTAGATTATTTTATGAAGATATTGGCCTTACGTGAACTACAGCCAAAATAACCAGAGAATTGATAACCATTGATAGAATTGACAGAAAAAGTATTAAGTACAAAGTAGGAAATGTTTTTCTGTTCTTTGTATACTATAACATGTATATTTTAATCCTGAAGAAAATAACATAGAAGAAGGAAACTCAGGGAGAATAAATTAAATGTTTGATGGTGGGTTCTCCAAACTAAGGAGAACTAAAAAATAATTCCATTCATTCTCTTAGATTTTTCCATCTTCGTTTCTGCTTTCTACTTTCTCTTTATCTCTATGATACTCAAGTCCTGTTTTCATTTTTTCTTCAATATCGCTGTCTTTTCTCCCCCTCCTTAATTTTTACCAGCAAATGCCAGAGAGAGAGAGAGAGAGACAGAGAGACAGAGAGAGAGAGGGAAAGTGAGAATGCTCTGCCCATGGGGCATGGTCATGCTGCAATCCCTTCTCCTTTATTTCTTCTTCCTTTGGGGATTTTGGACATACATGCACTTGCACCTGGTCTGGGACTCCAACCACACTGTCAGTTATGTAGGATCCAGCCACCTCAACCACTTATTACTGTCTTTTATCAATTGACATTAATTAACATTATTTCCCTCAGTGCAAAACCCTCTTTCAAGCATATGAAACTTGAACACTTTAATTTTATCTTTCATCTTTATTGCTATTACTAACAAATGCCCCAATGTATTTGCAGTCTAATTGTTAACCTTTGAATCTTTAATTGTGCTTCCTAGGGATATTTTATAAATCTACA